GACAGGGTGTAGCCTAGCTGCACTCATAGCTGCTATCTTTTTAATAAAGAGGTGCAGACGGGTATCACCATGGGTTATAATAACAACAATCTTTAGGATGTCAACGCAAACCTTTTCCCTTTTTTTCGTAGTCAAATAAATTATTTGAAAAAGGTAAAAATCGCAAAATGCGTATATATGAATATATTGAATGTGGATAGCGGTAGACCTGCCAATCGATAGCTCGATATAAATTCGTTTTCTAAAAACCAGTGTTTACTCTCGAACGTACCGTACGAAAAACAATTTCTGTAATTAAATTATTTCCAACTACTGCTTTTGTTTAATATTGAATTTACATTTACATTAAGTTTACATTAAGATTTACTCTTTAATATAAGAGTAATATATGTACTTAGACCATCTTCTGTTAGGACGTTACTTTGACGCGATCGTATTAATATATTTTTAATATAAACTACAGTTTCTGTTGTTAAATGGATTGCTTACCGCTGAATTAGTTCAATATTAATACGTATACATATTATATATATTTGGATTATATTATTTATTGAAATAGTTGAATTAACTTATAAAAATTCAATAAATTCACTTTGTCAAATATTTATCGTTACTTTGGTTCCATAATAATGTGCCTTCAGCTGGCTTTGGATCAGTTTTTTTTACCGAAGTCCAACTTTGAGATTTGGGATCAAAAGCAAATGTTTTCGAAGTAGGATCTACTGGAGGTGGTGTATTTATGACGACTGGTTTACGAGTTGTAATAATCGCAGGTTTATTTATTACTTGTGGTCCAGCACTGATTAATTCATATTCTAAGTTTGGATTAATAGATTCGGGACGACCATAAGCACTGATAACAATATGCAATAAAAGACCTATGAACATAAAATTTATTTATTTATACTGTGAAATTTTTAATAATTAAACTTACAAATTATAGTGAAAGTTTTTAAATTATACATTTCGATTAGTTTGATATTTTTTTCGTTAGGTTTTAGGTTTTAACTCGTTGTCAACAAAGCGAAGTCGATGTTTCAATGTTAAGCTCAATACTAAATCTTTAAATTAAATAACTGAAATAAACAACAAAAATGTAATAATAATTAAGTGAATGAGATAATCTTTATACTTGAGTTCACAGCATCTCAAAAATTATTCTGATTCAGAGATTGATTCAGCAATGCAAGTATTGAGTTTCTCACAAGTATTACGTTCTTGATATTAAATAAGACGGCACTGATTAAACTTGAGTGATTTTAGATTATTTTCACTCATAAAAATTTTTTGATAATTTGTTGTTCATTTTCATTAATTAAAAAATTTATAGTTGCTGCTAATTCTATAATCAAAACAATCTGTGAATATATAATATCTTCATTAATACATGAGCAATTAGTAAGAATATGTAAATAGAACAAAGAGTGAAAGAGCGAGTTAATCTATCAATGTATACAAGGTATATTCGACTAAGCTTTGTTCGTTGAAGATTATTTATCACTATATGAACTTCTTAAATCTAAATTATCTAGTTAATTAGTTAATAGGAGTCACTAAGAAAGTATTAAATGGTAATCAGAAGTTCATTCATATTACATATTTACCAATTACATATACCAATTATATATAAATGAACAATTTTATCATTAATTTTGAAGCGTTCTATTATTTAATCTTAATCGTTATCTATAATTCAAAAGACTGATCAATTTATATTAGTTCATACAAAATAATAACACATTTTGATAATTAATAAGAATTTTTTTTTAATTTAGATTCTTTAGAACTTTATTTTACTTAATATGTATATCGAGTAATTTGATTTGTGAAATTATTATGGGTTTTTCGCTGGGTATTTTATATAAAAAAAAATTTTTTGTATGGAACTGATGAAAATTAAATAATTAATTGGAAAAAGTATATGTACTTTATATGATGTGCAGAAATTATATAAAATATATATATTATTTGTGTATGCATAATAGGTAAATATATTTATAATATATTTGTTACCAAATGACTTTTATGAAATAATTAATAAAATTAATTAATAGTTAATTATTTTTTTTATTTAATCGAGTTGTTTTTATTATATTGAACTATATTAGACGTCCTCCACATATATCAGCAAATGCAGAATAAGCCATTAATAATAGCATATATTTATTAAATTATTATAAATTTTTTATAAAATTATATTATATGTAATTATTATATAATAATTATTATTAAATTATTTTTTATTATTAAAAAGTATGCTCCACACAAAAAGAAAAATTATAAATGTATTATGGTATATCAGAAGCATAATTATAGATACCTAAAGACTGTAAATGATTCAGTATTAAACATAACTCTGAAACTTTTTGAGAGCTGGACATCCTTATTATAATCAAAGTATTGTAAAAGGTCAACGTATGTGAACCTAAACATATAGAAAATAGATATTGTTTACATAATTTTTGGTAAACAAACAAATAAATTATTTACTATATATTTAATAAATTCTTTTCAGCTATATATTAAGAATTGGGGCCCTATGTACCTATGAGAGAAGGCCAGCAGTAAGTAAATAATATGTTAAGCATTGGAATTTCCATTAAATTTCATTAATGGAATTCATCATTAAATACATGATACAATATATTGAATAGGTAGTGTGTTTTTTTTATTGAGTATTTTTTCCCTTCTCGAGAAACTGAAGTGAGAAAGTTACATAAACGAGCCATTGTACTGAGACTTATGTTAGGATTGTAAAATTTGTATATTATTAATATG